AAAAATTATGAATATATAGTTCTATAATTATGAACATAGAGTTGTGAACATAATTATGAACAAATAGTTCTGTAATTATGAATATAGAGATTCAATAATTGTGAATATGACGTTCAAAAATTATGAATATATAGCTTTATAATTATGAACATATAGTTTAGTAATTATGAACATAGAGTTCGGTATGTAATTGTGAATATAGAGTTTTCAATAATTATGAATATGAAGTTCAAAAATTATGAATATATAACTTTATAATTGTGAATATATAGTTCAGTAATTATGAACATAGAAAGGTGCACACGGTTCCATAGCACAATGATTGGTAATAGTTTTTGAAAATATATAATGCAGATATGTAACACAATATGTAAAAATAAATGAAGCGCCAAAGTAAGTACACAGCTGAATTTTTTAATGCAGTTGGAAAACACCTCCTAATCTGCGGGGCCACGCCCAAAAACTTTTTCACTCAAGATCAACCCGCGATTTTTACAATTACAGGTTCAATGAATTACAAAACTAGGTCTACCACCTATTTAAATATTAACCTCGTAAAACAACTCTATGAAAAAATTTACAAGTACAGTTTGAACTAATTCTTCCAATTAAACAAACTGTAACCAACATGGATTTCAACACAACTTGTACTAATATAAAATGGAGCTGACTTCTCCAGATAGTATATCAATCTTTCCCTGTTTGGAAGTTTCCTTGTAACGTCTTCCGAATAATTTCTTGTAGCACCTTCCAGAATAATATTTCAATTTTTCCTGTTTTGGAAACTTCATCTTACTTCAATACTATAGTTTCTATTTATAGTATTTTCCTTTCCTTGATTCACCCACGCACACCCTTGATACACTGATCCACTAATTTTTCACTTCCCACAAAATTAGCTCCATGCTCCATGATTCATGCATGCACTTACCCATGTACACGCACACACCTCACTTCATGCATTAATTTCCCTTAATTTTCTCTTTGAATTAATCTTCTCCACACACACACTACATTTACACATAATGTATTAATTCCATTTCTTTTCCACTTTTCACGTACATACACATGTATTCCTTAATTTCCTTAATCCATTTGTAGGTTTAACATATGCCAATACATATATATTAAAAAGTACAATACGTAATATATATATATATATATATATATATATATATATATATATATATATATATATATATATATATATATTTACAATGCAAATATATATATTAGTATGTACTCTACATAATATATATATTTTATATATATATATATATATATATATTGTACTAACAGTTTTGATAATACTCCAGTAAGTAGTTCTGTTTACAGAGTATTAATGAGTTTAAATTAATGCTTTTTGGGCCCAAATAATTGAGGCAAATTGACAACTTACCTTTGATCTTGGAGTTTTACTCTTGCTTGGTTGAAGAATTTGATTGATTGATTCCTATTTGTGATTGAGCTAAGTAATCTTCTGCATTTTCTCCTTTTCTTACTTCATCATTTCATCTCCGATTAGCTCAATTGTGATTGTGATTCAATGAAGATCATGAGTGGCCAGCATCCTTTTAGAGAATTGAATTAGAACTTACTTGCTATGGTGTTAGTGTAATTATAATTGTAATTAGAAAACATTTGTGTGTTGATTGATTTGGATTTCTAATGGAAGTGGAGTTTTGTATTGACTTTCATGAGGTTAGGGCCCAACCACATGAGATTGAGACTATAATAGAGCGCGCCTAAATCCACTTACATTTCCCACTTGTACGAAACCAAAATTTATTTATATAAAATAAATAAAACGAAAAGAAAGGATTTTCAATTTTGAGAATATAAACCAAACACAAGAAGGAGATGAAATTCAAGTCGTGTGAAACACACTTTCCTTAAAACTGATTCGTTACCTCTCGATGGTGCTAGGAGCATTGTAGCGTCAGTCTCCCAGGATAAAATGGATCACGACTTAATGTTTGAGCACTCAAACAAAAGTCTGGCAAACTTGAACAAAGATCGAGCACTTCATACATTTTACGGAAGTGTTGGTAGAATTTTCATAAGAAAAGGTTGAGAGATGAAGAGAAAAAAACCAAAGGATTTTGAAAGTTCAAAAACCAGCAGGAAAACAATATGCTCAACACCAAGCTTTTATAGGAGATGGAGAAATAAATGTCATTAAATCATGGCATTAACATCTGAAATAAATCAGATATGTAACCCCCATAACTTGCAACTTTAATTTGGAGTTTAATTCTCAAAATTAAATTGGAATTAATTCCTTCATATTAGAAGTAAAACTGCCAGAATGGTACTCCGAGCAGTACCCACGAATAGTTGCCTGCCTGGTGGTGAAAATCTACTTCCCAAACTAATGTGGGACAAGTATTTTTACAAAGTTTTTCCACCATCATTTTTCAACTCAAATGTGTCTACTTTGAGAATCAATTTATTATTCACACATTATCCATTTTGAGTGTACAATATATAAATTTCTTCGTCTCGCTACGAAGAGTGTGAATCCACTTTGAACTGACCCAAATCGGAAGTGAACCCCACATATATTTGTACCACAAAACAACCACTTACATGTCATTTTATGCTAAAAATTCCAACAGATTTCACAATTAGCAACTTAGGGGCTTCATTTGGATTTAAGGGTCTTAATCCATAAACTTACAACTTACAAGTTAGAACTTATAAAATCCAGAATCAGGCACTTCAAAAGTTCATCATTTAATTTATCTGGATTTTATTTAAGGAGTTTTCACCAAATGTAAGGGGCCATGCATTTAAGGGACATATCAAAGTAAACTGGAAATTTCACAGATGACATATAAAATCAGGGGCCATTTAGGGGACATATCATACTGAAAATTTCACAGATTACATATAAAATAAGGGACCATTTAAGGGACATATCAAAGTAAACTTGAAATTTCACAGATGACATATAAAATCAAGTGCCATTTAAGGGACATATCATACTGAAAATTTCGCAGATTACATATAAAATCAGGGGCCATTGAAGGGACATTATCATATTAGAAATTTCACAGATTACATATAAAATTAGGGGCTATTTAAGGGACATATCAAAGTAAACTAGAAATTACACAAATGACATATAAAATCAGGGCATTCAGGGGCTATTCACAAATTACAAAATAAGCTGGATATTGCAGAATATCACAAACATATAGTAGTATATGTATATCACAAAAATAAAACAAGAAATTAGAATTTTCATAATTACTTCATTTCTCCAATAAATCCTGGGAGAACGAGGGCTTCGAATTTCACACACACACACACACACACACACACAAAAAAAAAAAAAAAAAAATTGCAAGCTACGGCCTAGGGCTTCCACCACAGGTCATCGGACTACCAGGAAATTAGGAATGGGCCACCGGAGTTACAGAGTCTATGAAAGACAGACTAATAATAGTTCTAAAATGAGGAACTAAGAGATGCGAGATCATTCAAAACTCCAGAAGTAGAGAAATAAGAGATCTGATGAGAGACAAGGACTAGAGATTCCTAGTCTCTAAGAGAAAAGACTAGAGAACACAAGAAGTAGAGAGAATGAGAGAAGTCAGAGAACTGGAGAAGAGACTAGTGAACACGAGAAGTAGAGAGAATGAGAGAAGTCAGAGAACGAGAGAACTCAGAGAATTGGAGAGGAGAGGAAATGATGTGATTGCGCAAATGAGAGTCTCAATAGGGTTAGTAGAGGTTAAGGGTATATATATATATATATATATATATATATATATATATATATATATATATATACACTTACTTAGACTATACGACGTCGTATAATATATGCATACATCAACCCTAATCCAACATCGGATTTTCGGACGGGTCTAGTGGAATTTTACACCACCTAAATCGAATTCAAATACCCGGCATTTCTTCAATCATTATACCCTACACCACGGCGCGCATAGCACTGTGCGCCGCGCGCCTCCCAAAACGACGTCGTTTTGAGAGGCGCGGTAGGAAGTTGCTGTGATTATGTATATTTGTTCACACAATTATGTATATTTATTCATACAATTATGTATATTTGTTCATACAGTTATGTACATTTTTTATACAATTATGTACATTCTTTTTATACAATTATGTACATCCGAATTAGAAAATTTGTGTGTATTATGTTAAGAGTTGATATGTATTATGTTAAAAGTTTATGTTTATTATGTATTATTATGTTAGATTATGTGTATTATCTTTTAAAAAGAGTATGTATATTTTGTTATATAATTATGTACATTCATGTATACAATTATGTGTATTCTAATATAACATTATGTACATTTTTTAACATGGATTTTTTTTTAAAGAAAACTTAACTGTCATACACTGGGGCGGGAAATTTCAAAAAAAAAAATAATAATAAATTAAAACGACGCCGTTTTGCATCTGGGCGCACAGTGCAACGCGCGCCGTGGTGTAGGATATAAATTGCCGCATTTCTTCCTTCGACGAATCGGGTAGCCCAATTGGGTTCAAATACCCATCTGACGTTGTTATCGTATTTCAGGCCGGTCGGAAATCCAAATTTTTTCAAATAATGCTCACCCCTACTTAATCCTGTTGTACCACCTTTAGCTTAGACTACTAGGAACTGATTACAACTAAAACTTGAACTAATACTTTTGTTACAAAAACATTATCAACTTAGCGGAGATGTATACTTGTTCTTCTTTTGAAAAATACATTTTATTAACAAAAACTATACAAGAAATAATTAAGCAGCAATTGAAGGCCCTCATAATTGGATTTCCATTTTTCTATTTAAATAAATAAATAAAATTATAAATTATTACCATGAGTGCACGTAATAGCAACGTAACATTAACAATATATATTAAATTAACAAATTGCTAAAATCATATTATTTAAACCATTGTGGTTGTGCTAAGACAGAATATAATAGACCAGACACCTTGTCTGCCTCCGGCCAGCTTACATACACTCTCCTCGATTACTCCGACCTTCACCAGAAAAAAATTGTTCAACTTACGAAGTCGAACAAACCCACAAAAAGCAAGCCTGCGATTTATATATGTAACCATGGCAACGTCAACTCCATTGTCTACTACGGCAAATGCCGTTTACTGTTCTAAATCCAATCCTCGGAGTTATCGAGGATTAAACTCTAGTTTCTGCAGCCTGGGAATCTCTGTAAACCTACGGTTGCCACTCCTTATTAGCACCCGCAGAAATGTTCAACTAAATCAAACTAAGAGTAAGAGGTATATATGTCTAATTGATCAAAGCGTTTTGCTTTTAATTTGGTGATACACATGTTGTTTATTCCATTTTCTATTAATTCTTAAGTTTAAGTCACTAGATTTTAAACTCACTCACTCATGTAAATTATTAGAGTTAATTCCATTTTTATCATAGATTTATAGGTGACAGTTCACTTTTAGTCCCTTTTAAAAATATTTTATTGGTCTTAGTATTATTGTGGCATTAACATTTTTGGTTATTCGTCAACAAAATCATTAAAATGTAGTTAAATATAAGGACATTTCGATCATTTTTTAATACAACGTGGGTTGACCCGTTATAGTTTTTTTTTTTTAAAAAAAAAATCATAATTGAATATCTAAATGCCCTGGTAATTTATTAAATTTAAACGGTTTTGTTAATAAATGACCACGAAAATAATAGGACTAAAGAAGAATGTTCTTATTAAAGAAATGACTAAAAGTGGATTGTCATCTATAAATTTAAGACAAAAAATAAAAGTAACTCTAAATTATTAATATAATTTTTTTTTTGAAAGATATTAATTATGAATATAATATGAAGTTTTTTTTTTCTTTTCATAAAATTTGTTGCCTGCAGTGATCAACCAGATGTTTCCCCGCCAACCGGATCATCTTCAAATCCGCTGTAAGTAATTACGATTTAGGCCCTGTTTGGTAAAATAGTTAGTTTATAGGTTAATTTTTGGTTTATTTGATCACTATAAACTTTTTGACTTTGTTAAAACATCAATATAAGCGTTTAGTTAATTAGTTTTTTGTAACTCTAAAATGCTAAAATTCAAAAAACTACTCAAAACAACTTTTTTAATTAATATTTTGAGAAAAGAAATTATACCAAACAGTTATCAGCTAACAGCTAATTTATCAAATATCTTTCTATAATCGACTAATGTTATCAACTAGTTATACCCTCTAATTAACTCAATCAACTAACAGTTATTTACCAAACATGGCATTAGTAAATAGTCAATATTGTGTATTAGTAATACATTACATATGCGTTATATTGAGAAAAAATTATAATTTAATATACATTGTTTCAATATCAAATTAAATGATAAATATATTTTATCTTAATTGAACATTAAACTAATAATAGGAGAATAAGTTCATTATTTCTACACTCTATCCTCAATATTTCTTATATTCTGATATATAATCATGGTATCTGACTTGTCCTACTATATAAGAAATTTACCATGCAATTAACTATAAAATTTTTAAAACTGTTATAAATTTGACATTTTTCTTAAGGCAGAATTATAAAATGATCTTACCATGATTGTATGTCGAAATCATTACATATAATAGAGAGAGAAAATGAAGACAATAAAAGGAATGCAAGAACCAACTCCATTTCATTATTAATAACTCCTCGATACATTTATACAAAAGTAGCGGACGATCGTACATTGGCTGCATTAAAGTAAGAGAGTGGGATAATAGATGCATTAAAATAGGATAGGTGAGATAATGGACATACATCAAATAAAGTATTTGATCCTGTTTGGTAAAAAATTGACCTATAGATCAATTTTAGCTTATTTGACCACTATTAATTGCTTGATTTAATTTTTTTTTTTTGAGCAAATTGTTTGATTTAATTAAAACATCAATATAAGTGTTTAGTTAATTAGCTTTTTGTAACTCTAAAATGCTAAAATTCAAAAGCTACTCCAAACAACTTTTTCAATTAGCTTTTTCAGAAAAGAAATTATACCAAACAGTTAACAGCTTATTTACCAAACACTTTTCTACAACAGCTAATGTTATCAACTAGTTATACCCTCTAATTAACACAATCAGCTAACAACTAACAGCTATCAACTAACAGCCATTTACCAAACAGGGCCATTTATAACACTACCCCTTGGACATTATCATGTCATACTCATGCCTCGTTAAAAATCTCCCTAGAAAAACCTGTGGGAAAAACCTAGTCAATGGAAAAAGAGTACATGATATATGTCAAATTAAATGTTGCACCGGTTGCCTCATTAAACATTTTAGGCTAACAAAACTCAGTGGAAAAAAAAACTTAGCTAAGGAAAAAGAGTACAACCATAACCCCAACATAAACTTCAGGGCACAATATTCATGATTCAAGTAAAATGATACTCCCCCTGAAGATAACATTATTCAAATCTCGTACAGTAAATTTCCAAAATGTAGAGAGAGGTTTTGTGAACAAATATGTCCAACTGTCAATGAGGTGGATATGCTGTATGCTAATCTCGTGACTCTTCTGGAGCTTACGTGGGTATAATATTGACATTATAATGTTTAGTCAAAAATTTTCATAATATACCCATTTATCATTAGTGCAACACAATCTGTATTGTCGCCTTATAAGACAATGTGGGTAAAATATAGTACATCCAGTTTTGGGAAGGGTAAATTATGTCATTTCTTTAAAATAATAAGGATAAAGATAGAAAAAAAAAGTTAGGAAGCTAGAAGTTTATTTTGGGAACATTACCAAACAGAGCTTATAGCTTATTCGTAATTTAAAATAAGCTATAAGCTCCTAAATAAGTTCTGCCAAACAGAGCCTAAGTATTACATTTGCATATTGACCCGTGGGTCGGTCTGTGAACTTTTTTGAAACACATATAACTCCGAAAACTAACGGTTGTCCACAATTTAATTAGATTTAGGTTATTATTATTATTAATTATTAATTATTCAACATAGGAAAGGTTGGATCGTTGGAATTCTGCTAAGTATTTGTCTACCCACCTTCCACAACAAATGGGCTCCATTAATGCAACTCAAAAGTAAGAAACCCTTGTCCCTAAACTATTGGAAATTAAACAAAAATAATATAATCCTATATATATTTAAGTTGAAAACATTTTGGTATATGTTAAATTTGAGTGTATAGATAACGTGGATAACATAGTGGAGACGGTGGAAGAAATAGCCGACGGCGTAGAAAAGGCTGCAAAGTTAGTGGACAGGGTGTCGGAAGTGATCGTCGATGATCTTCCGCCAGGGGAACTCAGAAATGCTGTGAAATCTGTCCAGAATATGGCTGAAAAAATTGATAAGAACGCTGAAGCTTTAGGAAATATGATTGATAAGGTATGTGTGTGTCGTAACACACACTTATAAAACTTAGGATTAATATTTGATGCACTCTACTGAAAATTATAGAATTTCTCACCACCTGAAAGTGATCTTAAATCAAATCGAAAGCCTTGTTCCGATCACTTTTGATATTCGGAAAATCCTTTGTTGTTATTTCTGACAAACTTTTTACTTTCGACTTAATCTAAGATCACTTTCAGGTGGTCAAAAATTCCATAATTTCCAGCTGTTGATGTATAGATGCGCTAATCTTGCTATACACCAGTGGTGCATCAAATATTAATCCATATATATATATATATATATATATATATATATATATATATATATATATATATATATATATATATATACACACACACACATAATCCTTTCTATATATACTTTAATTATGTTTGAATTTTTATTAACAATTGATCATTTTTTATCAAGATTAAAAAAAGTAGCTGATGTTCATATTATTATTATTTTAATTAATTAATATATAATTGATATTATAAAAATTTCAGGTTCAACAAATTGAAGACATGATTGAGGAAAGAATAGAGACTAGTTAAAAAAGCCAAAGAGAAGAAGCTGGCAAATCTGCCAAAGCAGCATAAATTCAAATTAACAACAAAAAAACAAATTAAATTAAATAAAGAAGTGTTCGGTAAATAGTTGATCAGTTCATTCTTTTTAACTGAATTGGCCAGTTTTAATTGAAGCATGTGCTCCATCTCAACTAAAAGTCTAAGCTGATAGTTGGATTGCACATTTATGTTTATGTTATATTATATGCTTAACACGACCCCTCACGTGTGAGGGCCGATACTTCCCATGACCTTTGGCATGACTCTGATACCAAATTGAAGCATGTGTTTCACCTCAACTAAAAGCCTAAACTGATAGTTGGATTACACATTTATGTTTATGTTATATTATATGCTCAACAGCTTTAACTAGTTAACTTGATCTACTAGGCCTAATCTACACAAAAAGAGTATGAGCTACTAGGTCTAATCTACACAAACCAAACACGGCTGGAAATTAATGTTTTTCCGACCTCATTCCGACCACCAAAAAAATTAGTCGCAAAAAGTAATTTTTTAAATTTTTTCTGACGAAAGCGAGGGTGGTCGGAAAGTAGTAGGTATTTTCGACCACTATTTAAATTGTGGCAGGAAAGTTTCGTCCAAAATTAGTTTTTTAAAATTGGAGTGTTGTTGCAACCATCCAACTAGTCGGAAATGTTTTTTCTATAGTTTAAAATTTAAATTAGACTCTTAGTCTATTAGAGACATGGTCAACACTCAGCATCAGACAACAACCAACACTCCCCAACCACTAGCCCTAGATCTCTCTTCGCGACTTCTCCTCCGCCATCGTTATTCCGCCTCTCATCGCCAGTCGCCTATTCCCCCACCGCCAGTCGCCTATTCCGCCACCGCCAGTCCGCCTATTCTGCCTCCGCCTCCGCCACCGCCAGTCCGCCTACTCCGCCTCCGTCACCGCCTGTCGCCAGACCGCGTAGACGCCAGGTCGCCAGTCCAGTCTGGCAGTCGCAGCAGCCCTCCGCCTCACAGTCTCAGCAATCCTCCGGCTTCTTTTAGATCTTTCAGGCAAGGCTATCTACGATAGAGAATCCAGAAAACAGTATTTTCACCTGCATTAATTCTTAAATTATAATTATAATTATAGCTTGGCATAAAAAATGTAATTCTGTTAGGATACATCATAAAATTGTTATTAGACTATGTTGTAAAACTAACATTTGCAATTTGAACAGTGACCATTAACTGCGGCTAAAAGCACTCTGGAAGTCATTTTCTATTTTTCTTAAAAGAGTCCAAATGTAGATGTTCTACCAAAATAATTGATTAAGTGACTATGCATATTTTCCTCTTCAATTAATGAATGTCTTTGATGTTATTGATTGCTTTCTCTGGCCATTTTGTCATGCTTGTTATTATTGATTTTGTCATGCCTGTTATTATTGATTTATTATTAAGAACCCTCCAATCCCATCTTTTATCCAATCTTAATCTCAATCAACTCCAGGCTCACAATTCCCCTAATTTATTTCTCATTTTCTAGAGTAGTATGTTTGAATATACTCTGTATTAATTTTGACAGAGTTGGTTCTCCAATGGGCTTGTAATTCCAATTACATTGTTTCTTTTGTGAATATATTGTCATATTATTGAACATTCTTGAAGTTTATCAATAATGAATTTGAGAACTTGTTAAGTGTAATTTGAAAGGAATGCTAAGAATTTTGTGTGATTTGCTTTCACTTGTAGTCACTATATATCTTTTGTGAAGTTATTATTATCAGTTGTTAGAAATGCCATCCAAATTGCTGCATTATTAGCTAAGGAGCATATCTGCGGTTCAACACTGCTAGGACGTATACCCCCCATGTATCACTACTCCTTCAATGAACCATGAAGAACTCTTGTTGCATTTCATAAAATAAATCTAGTTCTCATTTGTTGTCTAAATGTGTTCTGAAGGAGCTTCCCTACCTTCTGTAGGTTTTGGGTTGGTGAAGGGGCTCGAGCATGGGCAAACTCCAAAGGTGTTGCTTTAACAAAAACAATAGCAGAAGCTGATGAGGTATTATTCCTCTTTCCAGTAATGTCTATATGAACACTGTCAAGTTTTGATGCTACATTGATTTGTGGATCTACAGAGAACAGCAGTTCACAGATTTTGATCACTTCATATGGGTGTTTGCTCTTTAATCATCCACAAGCTAATCTGTGTAGCATCCTGTTTTGGGTTCATGTTGTAGTCTTGTAGATGGACACACCTTAGCATTCCTGGAATCATAGTGTGGTCCTTGTATTAGCATATGGAATGTTTTGATTGTAGGAAGATTTCATTTACTTTAAGCTTATTAAAGTTGAAGAAGTGAAGGTGAAATGGTGCACTAGAGATTCTGTGTATATTGATGTTTTATGATGTAATATCGTCATTAGACAACTGCTTGCCCACTCTTTCCTTGGTCAATGTGGCTTTGTTGTTGTTATAAGTTGCGTTTATTTTTCATGCATAAGCATACAATTTATACCCTGATATGCATCACACGAAGTGCAATTCTCAAATAGGCCTTAGCAGTAAATCCAGTAATCTTGTTTTATTCTTTGTCATGTCCTATCTATATTGGGCTGTTTATGTGATGCTAAAGGAGATCTCTAAAGCCAGAATTTCTGTTTGTGGCAGGTTGAATCTTCCACTGCGGCAAAGACGAAAATGTGTACATGTCTCTATCTTTGTAAATATTTACTGTTTACTATACCAATATACCTAAAGGATAATATATGCTAACGTTTTTCTTTTTAAGCCATCAGATTTGAAGGATTTTTTTTTTTTTTTTTTTTTTTGTGAGGGTAAAGGAGGATACTTGGGGTATGCAAGAGAAATGACAGTAAGTTTGTTTTGGTTGCATTAAATTTTTGTCACTTTGTTGCTGTTGGTGCCACTAATTCGACCTTCTTTTAGGTAGAAGCCGATGATTCTTCTACATTAACAAGGATTAACTGCTTTCTCAATGATGCATTACAATCTTCATGTGAAGGAATTATGGTTAAATCTCTTGATGTAGATGCTGGGTATACACCATCAAAGCGCTCTGAAGCATGGCTGAAGGTATTATTTTTAACATGTTATTGTACAGTTTAATATAGTTTCTGTTACTGAACAATCTTTTCAATTTTGCAGGTTAAGAAAGATTATATGGAAGGATTAAGTGACTCCCTCGACTTGTATTGTTTTGAATTGTGAGGAATGCCCCAACAATCATACAATCTTTCAGTGTGGATGGATCAAGTGGACAACTGATTGAAGCTTCAAATTTTGATCTATCATCAGGTTACGTGACAGACGAAATTAAACTGCCAGTCTCTGCATATACATTTTTGGTGTTTTTGGTCAGTTTTGTGATTTACAAAATAAGCTACTTATTTAACTTTTGTAGAGGCTTTCACTTGATTTTGTTTTTAATTAAACATTATAAGTTTGTCAATGATGGATTCCTTCTTCAACAAAGGGATCAAAGCAGCCCAATGGTAACCGTTTCTTATTTTTCTTTAAAATTTCAGTTTTTTTTTCCATAATTTACAATTTTTATGTGGATTTTAATTTGAATATTATGTGCAGAACAGGTTTTGATTTGCATTTCGATTTACTGTAAGAACTGATTGAAATTACTGAACAGGATTTTGAATGTGTGTATTAGAATGTGATTTTTCACTTCGAGTTGTGAGTGATGGCAGTTATTCATTTTGATTTACAGTAAAACCTTATTGAAACTAGTGATTCCTCGAATTAAGCATCTAAGGAACCAGAGAGAGATTCAGATGAAGCAGATGCGTAGAGAAATAGCAAAATTTCTTGAAACTGGTCAAGAAGCTACTGCTCTGATTTGGGTAAAAAACATGATTCTTTTTGTGGTTATATATTTCCATTGATTCCATTTCGTGAGTGAAATGATCATAAGTCAAACAGTTCATTGAGGTGGTTTTTTGTTTTATTTCAGGTAGAGCATATTATAAGAGAAGAGAAAATGATGGCTGCACAGGAGATAATTGAATTATTTTGTGAACTTATATCCATTCGCCTTCCAATTATTGAGGCGCAGAGGTAAAGATTTGGTTTTCTGGACTGTACTTTCAATGGAGAAAATGAGTTTTTATTTTGTTCCTAAACCATCTTCATGTCTTCTTGTACTAATTGCCTTTCAGAAAATACTTAATTTGTATGTCTTATAGAATTGAATTGCCCTGCCTTCTTCAATGTTCCAGGGAATGCCCTCTGGATTTGAAAGAAGCGATTTCCAGTATATGTTTTGCTGCATCGAGATGTGCAGATGTTACAGAGTTGGTGCAAGTTTAAATGTTGTTTGCTGGAAAATACGGGAAAGAATTTGTTGTTGTTGCGGCTGAACTGATGCCCGAGTGTGGTGTCAATCGCCAGGTTATACACATTCTGGTTTTATGACATAGCTAAAGAAGCAGCTCAGCTGAGCTTCATATAGTTTTTAAAGGTGTTTTTATTACTGCGTATTTGCAGTTAATAGAGCTATTATCTGTTCGAGCTCCTGGTCCCGATGTGAAACTCAAGCTGCTAAAGGAAATTGCTTTGGAGCATGAACTAGAGTGGGATCCAAGTGCATCTGAAACTGAATTATGGAAACTTTGTGAAGACCTACTTGTATGCTTTATCTTCTAACCATGTCATTTTGCCTTTATATTTAACGTTTGTAACCTTGATTGTGCTTCTGTTTCTTGTAGAATGGACCAACGCAATTTAATATAGTCAATTTGTCAGTTTTGTCCAAGTTTTTGAAAGTGTATTTCAGGAAAATGCTTGACACAGAAGATCTTGAAGAAGAAACCTAAGAAGTCCCCAAGGATGAAGATGGGACATTGATGAAGGTTTTCCGCCCTGAGGAGATTAGTGCCATGATTCTTACTAAGATGAAGGAAACATACAGATGAAGCTTATGTTAGCTTGGAAAGACAATAAGGATGCAGTTAGTTGTGACCGTTATGTTCTAGGTAAAATTGAGTAATGCTTTATATGGTAGAGAATTTATTTTAATTGAAGTTACATTTGAGGTTGATGCTAATGGCGTCTTGAACGTTAAAGCCGAAGACATGCCCTCTGGCCGATCTGAGACATCCAATTATCAGCGTTGTGTATCAGAGATCTGGTGGAGCCCCTGGAGGTGGTGGAAGCAGTGAAGACTATGATGAATGATTATTCTTCCTCTTATTATTTTTTCTATGTATGAGAAATTTTATTGATGCGTAGCTAGGATAGGCTAAAGTTGGATAATGTTGTGTATTTCTGGTTTCCCTTCCGAACTGAAACAATTGCTACAATCTTATTAGCCTGTTTCGTTAATATTTTGACAAATGTATTTTTGATGGTGAAATAATTGCTACACCTTGATTTAAATGATTGAACAATCTTTGATTTCCCTAAATTGCTAATTGTATTGTAGTGCTGAAATTTGAATTTGAATTGTAACAGGTCAAATTCAATTGATATTTGTAGAATTTTAAATTTTATTTTTTTGTTAGTAAATCTTACCGACCACTTTAGTGGCCGGTAATTCAAATTTTAATTTTTTCTTTGTAAATTTTACCGACCACCAGTGGATGGTAATTTCGACCAATTACCGACCACCAATGGTAGGAAATATGCTCCCTTTATCCGACAATCACTAGTTCCGACGACCTAAAAAAGAAAGTCGGTATTTCCGACCACCTTGACTAGTTGTCGGTAATAGCTAGGGCTTTTTTTCCGAATCCATAAAGTGGTCGCTAAGTTGGTCGGAAACTGCATTTCCGACCGGAAATGCCCCTTTTCCGACCACTTTTTGGTGGTCGGAAAAATGCAGATTTCCAGCAGTGAAAGTAACAAGCACAAAGCCAATACTCAGTATGTTGCCAACATCACAACCATAGGCCAACCACGAACACAACCATGCCTCTAGCACTACCCACCAAATAGTACTGTACTTAATAACGACAGATAATTATCTGGTCGCTAAAATATAAAATAATCATAGCTTTGTAGAGATATATATCGCGTTCGTGACTCACAAGTTCATAGAGAGTCAGACCTCCGACCTCCGCCTCTTCACGCACACCTCCGGCGACCCATCTACGGTCACTGGCAGCGACGCTCGTAGTCACAGCAATCGTTATGCTGTGGAACCGTGGCCACTTTGCAAGGTGGGCACGGTTCCAAACGACGCCGTTTTCACATGGTTGAGTAACGGTGCCGTTAGTGACACCGTTATCCTCGATAATTTCTATATTGTAGATTCATAATTTATATACTGTAGATTCATAAAATCTATACTGTAGATTAATAATTTCTAAAATGCAGATTCATAATTTCTATACAGTAGATTCATAATTTAAATACATTAGATCATAATTTCTATACAGTAGATTCATAATTTCTATACTGCAAATTCATAATATCTGTACTGTAGATTCATAATTTCTAAACTGTATAGTTATCAAATTATGAATATATAGTTCTGTGATTTGTGAATACAGAGTTTAACAATTGGAAATATGAACATCGAAAATTATGAACATATAGCTCTATCACATGTTCACAAACCTAATATTGTAGATTCATAACAATTTTTTTTTTTTAAATTAGAACAGCGTCGTTTTCACGAACATGATGCCATTGTGGAATTGTGCCTACCTTGCAAGGTGGACAAGATTCCACAGCATAATTTGCATAGTCACAGACCACAGTTTGTCTCGTGCTCGTCGCAGTCCTCTGCCATCGATGACCACCCGGCTACCGGTCTATCGCAGTCTGTCTCGTCGCACTACGGTAACAGACTCGCACTCCAGTTGGTATTCGCAAAACCAGGTAAATATATTTATTTTCTATTTTTCTTACATTCAAGGCTTTAATAGTTTAATTTAATTAATTTTATATAATTTTTTGACTTTTTTCATTGTAAAATCTTAGTACTCCTAATTTCACATGGCTGTGTTATTTCCTAATTTCTCTTTTTTTTTTTTTTTTGGTTAATTTGCTCTCTCTACAGAGCACTAGAGCAGTGTACTGTGTATATATGTTTGACAATGTATTTGCATTGTATGTGAAATTGTATTGAAGTATTTAGATTAAGGAACACCAGCAGCTTGTTCAGTTCAAATTAATTACAACATAAGAAATTATTTCCGGTGCTTGGCCAAGCACTGAAATATATTAAATTGTGGACTGTGTTTTTTAACAGTGGACTTTCATGGAAATATTCATTACCTTCCAATTTAGATCTGTGGTTTTTCAGAACTTTTTCTTACCCAAATGGCTCTGCTATTGATGATTAAGTTTAGTGCATTATATTAGTACTTATAACTTTTAGGGAACATGTGTAGAAAATTTACCTTTGGGCTTGCCTTAATATATCACTTTTAGGGAACATGTGTAGTTTATATTGGAACCTTGATTTGCTTGTTTTTAGACTGCTTGCTCCATTATGTTGCTTGAGTGTTAGTTCTCATAAAGAATCTTAAACAGAATTGTTGTTTCTTTTAACAAATGACAGTTCCTCTATTCAAATATCCATTATGAAACTTATTTGTTGACTTCTCCTAGATAATAATAATCAAAAGAAGAGTTTTGTGCTACCTTTTACAAATAACTCCCCTGCCAAATTTGAAATTGCAGAACAACACTCCCACAAAGAACTGAAAGAACTATCCTATACAATGAATATGAGGTCAGTTAAACATCAGTTGGGTTGATTTCTCGTACATAATTTCTACTTTATTGCTGAAACCATTGTATTGCTAGACTGGATTTTATTATAATCAAATTATAGTTCATTATTGCTAAATTATATTCTGGAATTATTACTCCTAAAAGTTTATAACGTACATTTAAAAAGATTTATGCTCATTCTTAAATCTTTGGAAGTTATTCTATTTCCTCATTCCTGCTTTTAGGTTATTAATTACTGCATCTACATTGACCAGGTGTCTTCATTTCATCCATATTGAGATAACTAACACATCTCAGTGTAACCTTACAAATGGTAATTAAAAATGTCAGTTTTCTGTCTACTAGATATGAACTAAATGAAATATATGTAAGGTTTCTGATTTGATATTTAATTAATGTTCAAAATTCCGATTGATGGAAAAAGTTCTAATATTTTTAATCACTTATGCAGACATACAGTGGAAGTATATGAGATACCATACCATGATTTGAAGAAGTGGAAAAATGAACTGATTAAACCTGCGAAGTAACTTGTGCTCAGTTGACACCTCTGTGGTTCTTCTTAAGGGAAGATCACATGATTGAACCCCGGTGGTGTGGTGTTGACTCTTTGTACTACAACGGTTAAAGAAAGTATATTGAACATATACTATCCTATAATAAGGTCGATAGTACTCAAATAAAAATAAAAAAATAAACAAATTAAACTTTTTTTTTTAAACCACAAAACCAAACTTCATTAATTCTCAAAATCATTCAACAACATAACAGAAGAAAACCAATCGGGAATATACTCTGAATACTCAAAAACGATATTACTAGGATTACATAGAGATTTCTTTGCTAACACATGTGCCGACATATTTAAATTAGGGTGCACAAACTCGAAAGATGCCGACTCGACCACATATCATTAATCCAATCCTGCACAGAATCCATATTATCAAGCGTCCAACCTCTATTCAAAACTTTCCAACATTCATGAGCAAAGCTACAGTAGTTTGCAAAAAGATGAATCTCGCAGTCTCGAGATCATATCGTTACCACACATAGGGCAAATAGGATTACATCAAACCTGTTTTAAGTCAAAGCGTCTTTAGTAGGCAGCTTCATATTACACAAAGCCCAGAAAAATCACTTTATCTTCGATGGTAGGTTTATTTTCCACGTACCCGCCCATGCACAACCCCCATCCTCAACATAAATGCCTTTTGCTAGTGTATAAGCACTACGGACCGAGTACAAACCATTCTCTTCCCCTTTCCAATACAAGGAATCTCTCACGGCCATAGAAGAAGTGGGAATACTGAGAATAAGGTTTCTATCTCTCTCACATAAAATATCCTTCACTAATTCCACATCCCAATTGGTAATACTAGTACAAAAGAGAGATTTAACAAGAGGGTTCCCCAAATATTCCGGGTTTAAGGTGGTAACATAAGGGTGTATATTGTCAGGCAACCAAGGATCATCCCAACAGGCCCGGTCCTATCATTTTATAGGCCCGGGGCGTAGCAACAAAAATGGGCCCTATATTAAATTAATATATGTATTTATAATTAAAATTTAAATTAAATAAGGAGAAAATACTAATGTAAATTAACTTGAAGATTCACAAGTTTTTAACAATTGTACATACACATGAAAACAATTCTAGATGCATTCTTAAATTCAAAATAAGCAATAACCGCATTAGTGCATTCATAAATAAAGAATTGAAAAATTGTACTTTTCGTCCCTAAATTTTAGGATAATTATAGATTTTGTCCCTAAGTGTTGGTCATACTCACTTTATAAAAATGAATAAATAATTTAAAATCAAATGAGCTTGGGAATCACATTATTATTATAATAAATAATAAGTAATTTTTAACAAAAATTTATATTAAAAAAAAAAACTTACAATAAGAGCATAGCATAAAATCTTAATTATTGGAAGCAATAAATAAATCAAAATACCATAAACGTGATAAAAGATATTCATAATAAAATATAATGCATAATTAATTGGATAAAATAGTTCAAATAAAAAACACATTATAAATAACACATCTTCTATATTGCTATCATATTTATAAATATTTTTCCTTTTACTTAAATCAATTTCAAGTTTTTCTAAATTAATTTGAATACAATGATGCACAATAGGACTTTTAAACTATATTGTCTAGATAATTCATAATAATAATAAAAAAACTAAACTATTTTTAAAAATATTTTTCATAACTAAATCACAAAATATATTACATATACATAACTCATTATAAAGTTCATAAAATAGCACATATTTTAAATATAAGTAATAAATTACTCAAATAGAAATAGATTCAAAATTTGATATGAATCACAAATCAATTTATATTATAAATTTCAAAAGATTAAAAAAATCACAAAATTTTAAAAAGATTTAAAAAAATCACAAAATTACAAATGAAATTTTAAATAATACGGAGTACAAATTAGAATATAAATAAAGAGTAATGTATAAAACTATTTCTTTTAAATGGTTAATGTTCGACACTATAGATGCGTGTAACACAGTATGTAAGTGTGCACAAGGGGATTCGATCGCTGAATCTATATCATAGAAACCAAATTCCTTACCAGCTCAACTAACTTCCACTTTGTTAACATAAAGCTATATCAAATTATTATAACATCTATAGAATATATAAAAGGGTATGGCACAATCTGGTGGGCCCCTTCTAAGCGTGGGCCCTGGGCAAGGGCCCAGCCTGCACTTGCCCAGGGCCGGGCCTGCATCCCAAACCCTTACCTTCTCCCCATCCCCTATCCTCCATCTGGTCCCCTCACCCAATAACCCTTGCGCCTCACGGATACTAGTCCAAACAGATCCTTGGCCCAGCTTCAAGAAAAGAGCATTTAGGAAAGTAGCGGGCTTTAAAAACTATTGTCACGAAGGAGTTAGGCTCATTCAAGAATTTCCAGCCCTGCTTTCCGAACATAGCCACATTCATCTCCCTCACCGTTTGAAACCCCATTCCCCCGAACTTCTTTGGCCAACACAACTCGGCCCAAGTGCTCCACTGTATCCCCTTTCTCCCCTTCCCCTCACAACCCCACCAGAAGGAATTCATAAGCTTTTCTAGCTCATCACACATCCCCTTTGGAAGAAGAAAAACATTTATAGCGTAGTTTGGTAGGCTTTGCAAAACTGTCTTTAGTAAAACTTCCCGACCAGCCCTAGATAGAAACAGATTCCCCCAATGAAGGATCCTAGCCCGAACCTTGTCCCTAACGAACCTCAGAATTTTTCTTTTTTTGCCGGCCTACATACCCCGATAACCCCAGATATCTGCCTCTCGTTTGCTGTTCATGAATACCTAACGTCTCACAAACAGCCTTCTTATCCCCCCCCCCCCGCCCCCCCCCCCCCCTCTCAACATTATTTCCAAACACAATAGCAAATTTTTTCATAATTTACCTGCTGACGACTCGCTCTCCCATACTCATCTAAGGTTTCCTTAACAATACCAACCTCTAAATTGTTTGCCAGAAAGAAGAGCAAACAATCATACGCAAAGAACAAATGGGAAATCATAGGTGCCCCCTTGCAACAGTCACTCCATGCAATAAAAAGGCATGGAGACAAAGGATCCACTTGACGCAACCCCCTAGCCGAAGTGATAGGACCCCATTACTTTTCCTCGGCCAAGACATTATAATTCACCGTGGAAACACACTCTTTCATCAAGCTTACCCATTTATCACTAAAACCCATCTTCTCCATGACCCTTCCCAAAAAACCCCATTCAACCCTGTTATATGACTTACTCGTATCAATCTTAAGAGCCCCAAATCCACCCCTATCCCTCCTTTGTTTGTTCATATACTAATTAAACTTAGTATATGAAATCTTTGGAACAACACATTCAAATTTTCCCCTCTCTCTTGTTTTGACTTTTGACCTCCGTCTCTAGCTTCTGTTTGGCCACCATCTCTTCATTATCTTGTTTTCCCTACACCGACCTCCCTTGAATTTCTCTCCACTTAGTGTATCATCCCTACTTTCCCTTTGGCTACTACCCCCAGCCTTCTCGATCCCTAACTACTATCCTCAACTTTCTCTCTAGCTATCTACCATCATCGGCTTTCCATTCGGCCATTGTCCCCAACTTTTTCTCTGACCGCCATCCAGGGCCGGTTTTTGGCCCGTGCATAATACTCAGGGGGCGTTTGGTTCAAGTCATCTTAGATTACCTAGGTCATCTGAGTCTGGTAATGTTATATTACCTTGTTTGGTTCAAGTTATGAGATTACCAGATAATGTTATATTACCTGAAAGCTGATGTGGCGGTAATGTTTCAAGGTAATGTGATTACCCCCATTTTTTTAGGTAATCTTAGATTACCTTGAATTATTTCAACTTTGCCCTTGTTAAATAATCCTTATATAATAATAATAATAATAATAATAATAATAATAATAATAATAATAATAATAATAATAATAATAATAATGAAATTAATATATGTTTATATAATTAAATATACACATGTATATATTTATATAATTAGTTTTTTTTTAATATTTAAGTTTTGATATACATTCATAGATATAAATAAAAACACACACATAATATATATATATATATATATATATATATATATATATATATATATATATATATATATATATATATATATATATATTGAGGGCATTATAGTAAATTGATCCATATAACCTAAAATATAACCCTGAACCAAACAAGGTAATATTATATTACATCATCCAAACCAAACACACAAGGTAATCTTACATTTCCAAAATCTCACATTACCTTCCAGGAGGTAATCCTATTACCTAGAGTAATCCAAGATTCCGTGAAGCAAACGCCACCTCAAGGTAAATTTTACTGTGGACCATGGTGCATGTAGCAGTGTGGTCCATGAAATAAGTATCATTTTAATTACATTTCAGTTTCATTTGAAATATTGTTATATTTTTTAGTTGCATTTTTCATACACAATAGTTTCATTATAACAACACTAAAGTATAATTTTAATTATACTTAAAGTTTCATTTGACAATATACGTTGTTGAATGAGTTTTGTTTTTTAGTTTCATTTTTGACACGCACTAGTTTCATTATAGCAACAGTGGAGTATCATTTTAATTTTAGTACAGTTTCATTTGACGACCATGGTCCACTGTATAACAACTGTAATGCTCAATAGCACATGACCTTAATTTTAGAGGGCCAAATATCTATTTTTTATCTAGCTACTTAAGAATTTTTATTTTTTTTAAAGAAAGAAAGAAAGAAAGAAAAATCTGCAATTAAGCCCACATTCTTTCACGCCGCTTTTTCCCAAATCATGCACCCCCATTGAAGAGGGCAAGATTCTTCCTTCCTCTATTAAGTTTACAATTTACCCCCAAATGTCTTTGATTACCAAAGTTGCAATTCAATTTTCACTTTTCTCTCCTAATTAATTGAGCATGA